TGTCTCCAACGAGAACATGTGTGTTCTTTCCTAGGACGTTTGTTTTCAAGTGCAACCTCTAAAGAAGATTTCATCCTATTTTTCTTAGGTCTTCCTGGCTGAAGACGAATAGACGGGGGAAAGCATGCTAGGTTAACCACGTTATCTGGAACTGGTAGCGTTGAATCAACCGGCATAACTGAATTGGCGTATGCGCTCACCAAATAAGCGCTGGTATAGTAAGGACTGCACAGGGATATACGACAAACATTCGTGGACTCCGCAGCTGCAATTGCATGCGAACATGGTAATCTCTCCAGCTGGAAACGGCGGCATGTGCATTTTCTCCTTTCCAAGTTAACAACATGCAAAGACTCACCATATGTAACTTCAGTGTGATGAGTATCGATTCTTTGTATAGTCAACGTCTCGCGGTAGTAACACGACCCTATTATAAATAAAAAATGAACAATGAAAATCATTAGAGATTGAGTTATGAAATCTACTTAGGTTGACTTACTAAAATATTAGGCTGACTTATGACATCTATTTAGGCTGACTTATCATTGATATGGCTTACTTATGAAACCTATTTAGGCTGACTTATCATTAATACAGCTGAGTTATGATATCTACTTAGGCTGACTTACTAAATGAAACGGCTGACGTATTTAATAAGTACGACTGACTTACAAGTAGTAGTTTCTCTACAGCACGTGTAAGCATGGTTCCCTGCGTTTCAGCATCCTCTCTCTGTTCAGCAAACCATCTGGTCAACATAACCCGTATCGATTCTAGTAGTCGAACAATGTTAAGACCTCTAGCATTTGATAATGCTCTATTCATTGATTCTGCTATGTTCGTAGTCATCAAATTGTACCTTTCGCCTGGGAAATGAACACGCGCCCACAGTTTGACATCGGCTCTTTGGAGGTACCCATGAAGCTCAGGATTATTAGCTTCAATCTCCTCGAAGATTACATTAAAGTCAGGCATCCTGAAACATCTTGCCGCTTTCTTCACCAGACGGAATACATCTTTCCCTTTGTACCGTCCCAAAATGTTCTTATATAAATGGTATGTGCAAATTCCTCGAGAAGCCAACGGATACACATTTCGAATAGCTTTCCCAATCGAGTAATGCCTATCTGAGATTATCGCAAGACCCTTGTCGTCAGGAATCAAAACTTTTAGTTGCGTAAAAAACCAGTTCCACGAATCATCATTTTCTGTATCAACCACACCGAAGGCGATTGGAAAAATCTGAAAGTTTCCATCCTGAGTTAGTGCTGTTAGAAGCGTCCCTTTGTATTTGCCATTAAGAAACGTACCATCGACAACCACAACTTTGCGCATGAAAGGAAACCCATTTATGCTCGCGCCAAACGCAAGGAACACATACAAGAATCTTCCAAACTCATCGATTTGAAGACGAGTTATTGTATCAGAATTTGCTCTTCTAATCATGAATAAGTAAGAAGGCAAGTTTTCAAAACCACTCTCAGGTGTTCCCATATCGATTTCCCTTGCAAATTTCAGAGTCTTATATGATTTCCAATAATCCATCTGCCCAAATGAATACAAATAATAACTCAGCCAAATCACTTAAGTAACTCAGCTTGAACGTATAAATAACTCAGTCGGATAANCAATAATCCATCTGCCCAAATGAATACAAATAATAACTCAGCCAAATCACTTAAGTAACTCAGCTTGAACGTATAAATAACTCAGTCGGATAACTTAAATAACTCAGCCGTAACGTATACATAACCCAGCCCATATACTTAACTAACTCAGCCGAAACGTTGAAGTTTAAATAAACCAGCCAGATAATTCAACTAACTCTGCCGCATCGTTCGATGTTTATATAACTCAGCTTATCACTTAACTAGCACAGCCGGACGTTAATATAAGTCAGCCCCAAAGTGTAGATATAACTCAGCTGTAACGTTGATATAAGTCAGCCATACTACAACAATTACCTTGAGGCTGAACTGTTTATTGAGAGCTATTCCCACACTCGTAGGTCGAACGGTCGGACCAACGTCGCCGAGAAAGTTTCTGTACAATTCTCCTAAAAAATCTGGTGTTGCTTGTCGAGATCGATTAGAACGCTCAGTTACAGAACATGTATGTTCCGTATCGTAAATACGAACATAGAATGTCGGGGAATCCCCTTGTGTTGAAGCACGAACTCTCCAGAGACATCCACCAACCCAACATTTAACAATGAGTAAATCTGGATTGGATACTTCCACATCAAAATCAAATTGATCTCTCACTGTAAGAAGTTTCAATCGTCTTTCCAACTCAGCTTTACTCTGGTATCGTTGCCCAACANGAGACATCCACCAACCCAACATTTAACAATGAGTAAATCTGGATTGGATACTTCCACATCAAAATCAAATTGATCTCTCACTGTAAGAAGTTTCAATCGTCTTTCCAACTCAGCTTTACTCTGGTATCGTTGCCCAACAGAAAGGTTTAGCGAAGACATCTCCAACCTTAGAACCTCTGAATCCCCCTTAGATCCGGTCCAATTGTAAGAAGTTTCAGTCGACTGAGATCTCTTTTTAGGCAGTAGTGTCGGTGAATCTTCGTCTTGTGCTGGAGACTCACCATATGAGCTAAAGTTATCATCTTCGGATGACGCACCATCTGAGTCCTCGAACATATCAAATCGGCTATCAAATTCACTGTCTTCTTCGCCTTCTTCATCTTCTCCAACATCTTTCTGTTTTTCTCCGTCCAAGATATTCTCATTGTCGTTCTGTTCCTCCTCCAAACTAAAACCATCGTATCTAGATTCAACTTCTGAGACTTCTGCTTCTAAGCTGAAACTGTAGAATATATTACTCTTTTCTCCCGCTCCGTCTTTCCGGCTGATCTCATCATCCTCGTTCTTTGTAATCTCTACACAGAGACGTAACCTTTCGGTTTTCCTTAGGCTTAAAAATATTTGCAATTGACGAGTATTGGAGATGTAAACTGGTGGCGTGTCGTGAGCCATTGTTTTCAAAGCTTTATTCGAGAACTGGTAGCTTAGATGAATCTGATGGCTCGACTCATTCAATCCGTAATCATAGAGTACTGACTTTGCGAGTTCGCCGTGTGTTGTTTTCTCATCTGCATGCAGAACAATACATCCTCTACTGTCGGGTGTGAATACATATCTGTTTTTCTTAATCCAGTTACCTGAAACAATAATTACTGGATCCATAAGATTTTAGAGAAAGAGAAGAAGGTGAAGAACAGATAGCGGCGTTTGTAACATAAACCCTAATTTCGTTGTTGTAGTTAGTAATGACACGGAAAATAAAAGCTGACATGGATGATGATATGGAAAATCAGTTATTCAGCCACCAAACAAACATTTAAGTCAGCCACAATAAGTCAGTCACTTAATACACCGTAAGTCAGTCAAAACGTGAATACTATTTTAGTAATTAACTTTTTGTTAACAATCAGCCATAACAGAGATGAAACGCAAGAAGTCAGTTGTATCGTTAAATAAACCAGCCGGCAAATGAATGTTATTCTAGTAATTAATCTTTCGCTAAAAAGTCAGCCGTAAATCAGCTGAGTTTACTGTTACTCCACTTTATGACGGCTGATTAAATATAACTCAGCTGTAAAAACATCTCATAACTCGGCCGGTCAACGATCAATTAACCAGCCGCGATAGTTAACTCAGCCGTGTGGTAACTAGAACTCAGTCGGATTTTCCAGGAACCAGCCTAAGGATGTATAAGTCAGTCGTAATATCTGACCGTAACTCAGCCGTTATCAAATAAACCAGCCAGATTTTTTCTAAGTCAGCCGTAACGATCGACTGAGTTATGTTCATAACTCAGCTTATTTCTCATAAGTCAGCTAGGTTAGTTAAGTCAGCCGCATCACACCTATATCTCGGCCGTAACGAAGTTCATATCGTATTGAGGCTGAGTTTTATGCCGCATTCTTACATGGACCCGATTTTTTGCCTACGTGGCACAAAAAAGTAATGGCATTCTCGTAAATATGTTTTTTCTCATTACGTAAAAAAAGGCACGCTGAGTATTTAAAAAAGATAGTAATAAAAAAAAGTTTTGTATGGTTGTAATAATAATTAATAAAATTCATACTAGTTTAGTTAACTTTCCTTCTTGTAACAGAAAAGATTGGTACAAGACTTTCTTGTTCTAATGAATTCAAAAAGAGAAAACTTATGCATTTTTATTCTAACCTGACTGCATTAACAGATCCGATTCGTAATTTTGTATCTCCTGCTCGTATTAGGTAGGTTATACATACTCTTATAAACATCTTATAATATAAAATGTTTTTTCAAATAAAAACCTTAGTTCCTCCTCTGCCATTTAATTTGGAGTTGTTGTTGTAACCTACAAACTTTTAGCTTGGTTTGGAAGATTAATAAACCTTGTGAAAACGTCTTCGATCGACCCTCAAGAGTACATTTAAGAATCTATGATCATATGGTCCATATCGTTAAGAAATTTAAAATGTTAGATTGATGATAAAATGAAAATGTAACCCAAGAACAGCAATATAGCAAAAGGCATAAATGATAAATACCGAGTTTTGCCAGAGAAGAGGCTAGGACGATCATAAGAAGAGAACATGATAAGAGCAATGTCGATGTCCCAGAGAATCGACAGTTTATAAGCTTTCTCAATCAAACCATTTGTTCGTTTTGAGAAGGCAACTTGTCGGTTGGTTGTGTCTCAAACCATTTGTACGTTTTGAAGAAGCAAGAAGAGGGTTTCTCTTCATCCAAATCTTAGTTGTCTGATCAATAATCTCCAAAACTTCCCAAAAGAAAAAAAAAAAAAAAAAAACGTGATGAAAGAGGATACTGCTAAGTTCTCCCCCTCTCTTCCCCTGTAAATCCTTCTTAGGCCTTTCACTTTATAGTTTGGAGATGGATTAGTGAAAATCATTTGCTTTCTTCCTTGCTGAAATATGTTTTTTAAATATCTTATCACAATGTAATAATGTCAAGTTTAGTGTAGTATTGTTCATGTTTGAGTAAAACTTAATGTATACATCTAACCTCGTCAAGGATTTTGTTAGGACTTTGCTAGCAAACAATATCAAAATCTCCAAAACAATAAACAGTCGCAATATCCAACTAGTTTTCTGATTAATACAATAAGACAAACACAAAATGGAAACATAAGTACAAGAACAGAAGAAAAACAGAGTTGGATCACTGATCACCCTTTGATCTTGTCTGAATCACCTGCAAAACATCATTAGTTTAGAAAGATTAAAACACATAATCAATATCAAAAGGATAAGTAAAAGATCAACACAAAACCTTATAGTAACATATGATTCAACTAGTTTTTTTAAAAAGATCAGTGAGAATAATTATGATTGAAATAAAATCTTGGTAGTACCCTCCCTGAGTAGAAAGAGAATCTAAAGGTGAGTGTCGTCAAAAACCCAAGGCTCGTGCAAGAAGAGCTCCCGGCCATTCATCAGGACACGACCTGCTGCTATGTCTTCTTCCCGTTTCCTAGCTGCTTCAGCTTGTTTAGCTGATAATTCAGCGTCCTTACAAGAAACACAGTAAACTAAGAGAACATACATAGTTTTGATCGAAATCTGAATACTTTTTTTTCTTTTTCTTCTTCTGATTCAAAATCAATTCTCCAATAAAGACATGCCTAAATTACATATATTTTTATAATAAACCCATGTTCTAAAGTGAGGTCTGAATCAAAATTCAAAAACTAGGGTTCTTCTTCGTTCCTATTAATTAATTCAGCGGAGATGATAGATACCTTTTGGCGCTTCCACGCGAGAAATTGATCTCTAGAAATTGCGATTTGCGAGGTTTGATCGGTGCCTTGACGAATCTCTCCATCCTCTTCTGCTCCCATTCTTTCTTATCTATTTTTTTTTTTCCCAACACTCAGCAAAAACAATTGTTCTCTCTTTTCATCTCTTTTACTTTCGCGAAAATATTGTTTTCGAAACGACAGCGTAGTGTTGACTGTCATGGGAAGCTGGGGATTCGGGTTAAACCAACTGAACCGATCAGTTTTTCGATTAGTTCGGTTCTTGAAAAACATCTATCCAAATTTACCGGAAAGTATTCTTCGAATTAGTTAAGATTGTCGTTAATTTAGTGCAGTTTTTCGATTACAGTATTTCTTTTAAAATTCTGTTCAATTCAATAATTTGGTCTAAATCAATTTGTTCTGTTATTTGGTTTGATAAACTTTTATATAACTAACCAAATTATGCCGTAAACAAATTTGTGAAAACTATACAACAAATCTTAAGGCCCAACCCATGTCTTGTTTCCTTTACAGTGAGACCCAAATTTACTAGTGGTGAGTAGAGATGGCAATTGGGTTTTCCCGTCCCGTTCCGTCCCGTACCGCAGCGGGCTCATCGTCGAGCGGGTCATGGCGGGCCTGTCCCGCGCGGGCTGCGGTCTTCCGAATGGCTACCCAATCCCGTACCGCATAATTTATAAGCCTTCGCGGGCCGTCCCGCGGGACTTCTCTTTCAGTTTCCTTCATGAATGTTAAAGTAAAAGAGTTGTGTAAAGAAGTTGAAGAGAGCTGAACAACATCGATCGCAACAACATCTAATGTGATCACTCGCTGGTTTAATGGTCTTGAAGTAAGTGAGAGCCATTTGGACAGTAAAATTTAACTCTTTTAAGAATATTCCTTGTTTGATTCTTTATAAAGCAACGTCTCTTCATAACAACAATAACTTAATACTAATGGTTTCTTCTTCTCTTTCAATCAAACTGTTGAATTTAGAGTGTAAAGACAATAATCTGTAGTAACCCAAATTCTCATTTCGAGCCGTTTAAAGAACAAACAGTAGCTCTTTAACAAGCAGTAATTCTTTAACAACATCATTGTAACAAAATTTAATTTTTTTTTAAAACACCACTTAGCAATACTGAAAACAAAACTCATCAACTTAAACAAGAAAATTCCACATAGTAATAAGGCAATTTATAGTACTGAAAACAAAACCAAACAGAAATGGGGACTTATGGTTGTGGGTCTTCAAAATCCCGCGGGTTAACCTGTCCCGCATTCGGCCCGTCCCGTTTTGAGCCCGTCCCGCATTCGGCCCGTCCCATTTTGAACCCGTCCCGCGAGGCCCGCAATTTTGCGGGCTTATCAAATGAAGGCCCAATCCCGCCCCGCAGCAAGCCTTTACGGGCCAGGCCCGCGGTCCAGGTCTTTGATTGCCATCCCTAGTGGTGAGAGAAGAAAACTTTGTTTCCTTTCAAATAAAATATTGGTTAACTTAATCAAATGGACAATTTGACGTAATGAGATCATATGCTGTTTTTCTTTTCTTTTCTTCATTTCATTTGTTTTGGACGAATATGAAATTCAATGGAGGAGGTTTGTTCTTCGTGCGTGATTGATCCACTTCGGTTTCTATACATAGGATTTTTTTTTCTTCATTTCTTTTTTCTTTTACATATGCCGAATCATTTTTGAAGGATTGGTTTCGGTCCTTTTTTGACATCTGTGGTGTGGTCCTTAAATAGCATTGTGGATTAACATCGTTTTATGAATTTAAATGTGTTGCTTATTAACGACGTACGTCTTACAACAACACAATCATGTTTATTTTATCACTGTTAGTGGTGCGACATCATAGCTTAATATTGTAATTTGTAGATTGCGATAAATAATACGAAAGCTTTAGAAGCTTTTTGTTTGTCACTGTTACTTATGAGTTTTGATAGTAACAAAAAAAATTGTTATCAATATCATCATCCATTGCCGACACAATGACTGTAAAACACAAGCATATACCTATTAAGTATGTATTAACTATTGAACTGCTATAATTTAAAGAAATTAATATGATTCTTCCAGTCTAATTAATTGGGTTCTCTACATTCGTTAATTGTGCTTTAAAATGTTGGCCAAAGGCTCTTTCGTTTTGTTCTATTACAGTAAATAATAATATTATACGTGACCCTACCATTTTAATTCTTAAATAAAAGGGCACTAATGATGATATAATATATGAAATGCTAATATATGCGGCTGCCCGTCAACTATCGTGAGCCATTAGATGACTTTTTATTATTTCAGTTGAAAGTTAATCTCCAACCTTCTCGCTTAGCAATTTGACTTTTTATTATTTCAGTTGCATCACCAACAAAGAAATGACCAGTGTCCTCTTCGTAAAATTCGGATCTATAACAGCTTTAGAAGCTGTTTTCTTTTGGGTTCTGTACACTGTAACTTGGATGTACTTTCCCTGTTTTCTTAAAATTAGGGGGTTCTCATTGATACTAATTAGCGAGGTCATCATCAGCTTGTTCTGTGAACCTGGACATGATCTCCACTGCATTTATTTTCTTAGTTTGGTATAAATAACTAACATACGTTTCTACAATAATCCGGCATTTCCACACTTTTTTTTTTCATTTCAAAATTTTCGATTTATTAGAAGAATTTTTCCTCATTGAAGAACTTTGGAGGGTATTCATTTTTCCAGGTATATGTAACGTTTTCACCTTCCACTATCAATGGTTTTGCTCCTCCTATTTAATTTATCATTATATTCATGGGCATTTATACACGAGATAATTCCCTTTTAAAACAGTTTTAGTCACGAGATGTGTGCTTTCCCTCGATCTCCTTCTGAAGTAGCAAGGCATTTATAATAATTTTAATATAGATGGATATTCGGCACTATACGTTCTAGAAAAGCTAAATTTCTAGTCACCTTACGTTCGTCTTGATATAACCAGCCAATAATTGTTAGTCTAAAGTGATTCTATGCAGACGTATACAGCATAAGAATCTTCATTTTTCCATATATTATAATTGCCTTCGCTTGTTATCATTAGACAACGAACATACTAGTGGAACCAATTTGAAATCTTACTGTTTGAGTTATTAATGGTGTTTTTTTGGCAACTAGAACATTTTGAATTATTCATTCTTTCTTATTTAAGTAACGCTATTTGCGTTGAAAAATTATACGGTTTAATATTACTTTCTTGATTGCAAAAAGTCTTAACATTTCTATATATAGGTTCTTTAGCGCTAGCTAGGTACAAACACACACATAGCAATGTCGGGTAGATCTCACCCTAAGGACGGTGAAGGAGACCTTTCGCCGGCGGATATGTCTTCCCCACGGCAGACAAACACACCGTTTGTCCATAAGGTCGAAGTTCCTCCGAAGCAAAACCTGTTCAATGAGTTCATGTACACTTTCAAAGAAACCTTCTTCCACGATGATCCTCTTAGGGATTTCAAGGACCAGTCACTGTCCAAGAAGCTCATGCTCGGGATCCAGTCGGTCTTCCCGGTTTTCGAATGGGGACGAAAGTACAATCTCAAGATGTTTCGTGGAGATCTTATTGCCGGTTTAACCATAGCCAGTCTGTGCATTCCTCAGGTAAATAATCACTGGTTTACTTATCCCACAAGAAACTTCCAGAAGATTCACATATGTATAAAATGCATTCGAGTTATTTGTTTCAGGATATTGGATATGCAAAGCTCGCAGGTCTCGACCCTAAGTATGGTCTATGTAAGTTAATATCTTTCTCAAACTCATTTGATGCTCATACTTAAGCCAAGATTAGTGAGTGTATGTTGCGATAGTTTGTTTTCTATAAACTTTTATTTCATTTAATAAAAAAAACTTATAAGTTGTGTATTAAACTAGATGGGATTCCAACCTAAAACCAATCTATACTATTATTTGCCAAGTGATTTTTCGCAACGGAACTCTCACGATAAAAGTTAAAAGTTAGAGTGATTAATATCGATTATACCCTTAATAAATAAACTATATAAATTAGCTAAAATTTAAAATGAAATTAATATTTATTTTACTAGTTTATTTGTTGAAATTAATAATAAGAAGAATTATTCAAATCTAAAATATAGATCTTATTTTTAAAAGATAATTCTTATACATATTATGGTGTTATCAAAAAAATACATAAATTAAAATTCAAAAATTCATAAACAGAAAATACATAAATTAATATTAATAAACAATTCTTAATTTTATACATTTGAAAAAGAATACTGAATTGTTTTTTATTTATTTATTAATAATAAATATATTAAATCTTTTTTCAAAACAAATTATATTGTCGAAGAATTTTCTAATGAAAATATAAATAATCATTTATCTTTTAGTATTTTAGTTAGTAATGCATTTACTAAAAGTAAGTAATTATAAAATTGCTAAGCCCGCATGTGCGGGCAAAACACTTAGTTGGTGATAAGTGAAGTGGTTCATCTATCTTATATACAAGATAGAATTCCTTCCAACTTTCGATATGCGACTTTGTTCCTAATACGCCCCCTCGAGATGATGATTCTTTGGCATCAATATCGAAATCTTCGGGCAAGAATTGATGGGCCGACTTTGGGCTGGATCGATAAGAATCGGGTTGGACTTCATGGATCGTGGGCTCTGATACCATATTAAGTTAGATGGACTTCCAACCTAAAACCAATTGGTGATAAGTGGAGTGGTCCATCTATCTTATATACTAGATAGAATTTCTTTCAGTTTCCAATGTGGGACTTTATCCCTAATATTGTGAGCTTGAAAACGTAGAACAAAGAAAAAGAAGATAGGCTGGACTGGCATCTTAGATGAATACCAGAATAATCAAATAACCAATAACAAAAACAAGAGAGTTTTTGTAGAAAAATCATAAAACATAATAGCTAGTTTAAATATATTACTGACGATTTGTATTAAAATCTTTTGAACCAAGCCTAACACAACATTTTTCTTAGACGCCCACAAGTTTTTGTAGAAAATTATATAAACAAAGGTCATAAAGAAATTTTTTTTAGCCTCAATTTTTTTTAAAAGAGAACTAATTCAAATCTTTCATAACTATGTTATGGTCCTCTAAATCTCAGGAACGATCCTGATTTTATACCTTAAAATTTTATAGTAAACTCACTTATCAGAAACATGAAGAGTTAATGAATACAGAAGTATAATTTTGATTTTGAAACAATCGTAGCCCTTGAAATTGTAAGTATATTTGAGATACTGGTCGATAACTTTGGTGGTTTCTTTTCCAAACTATGTAATAGATTCAAGCTTTGTTCCTCCGTTGGTGTACGCGTTTATGGGTAGCTCAAGGGATATAGCGATCGGACCCGTCGCAGTGGTTTCACTTCTTTTAGGCACTCTGCTTCGAGCTGAGATCGACCCGACCACAAACCCTAACGAATATCTCCGCTTAGCCTTCACTGCCACGTTCTTCGCTGGTGTCACTCAAATGACACTCGGTTTCTTTAGGTAACTTACGTATCTCACATCAAAGTTTTGTATTCTTAGCTTAGATAGATTATTCTTGATCTAGTGTCCCGGTCACATGCAAAGTCTAACGAAAAAAAAAAAGGTTAATGAAATATTCGTCTTTAAAATAATTTTCTGTTAGATTTTACTTGTGAGTGAGTATATATAACTATCAATTTTTTCAGATTAGGTTTCTTGATTGATTTCTTATCCCACGCCGCGGTGGTAGGGTTCATGGGCGGAGCAGCCATAACCATAGCTCTTCAACAACTCAAAGGGTTCCTCGGAATCAAGAAATTCACCAACAAAACCAGTATCATCGCGGTTCTTCAATCCGTCTTCAGCTCAGCCCATCACGGAGTAATAATAATTACTCTGTCTGCATAGCTCAGTTTCTTTCACTTTCTCTGTACCCTCACACATTTGGTATCATTGCTTGCAGTGGAATTGGCAGACAATACTCATTAGTTCATCGTTCTTGATCTTCCTCCTCGTCTGTAAGTTCATTGTAAGTCTTCAAACCATCCATTGTTTGTCTCTCTTCGATTTATGTTTTCTTGTTCTGATCTGATGATCTCTTGATACAAACAGGGCAAGAAGAACAAGAAACTGTTTTGGATTCCGGCCGTCGCACCGTTGCTATCGGTTATTATTTCAACCTTCTTTGTCTATATTACCCGAGCCGACAAGAAAGGTGTTAAAATAGTAAGCCACATAACCTTATGTCTCTTGTGACTTCTCAATAAACCCAAACTTTACTTGTTTCACAAGTTTTTCTACTTTGTGTTGTTGTAATTTGATTTTCCTTATATAGGTAAACCATCTCGATAAAGGTATAAACCCTTCTTCACTGCGTCTAATATACTTCTCCGGCGATTTCCTACTTAAAGGCATCCGCATTGGCGTTCTCTCAGGCATGATCGCCTTAACGGTATGTCTTATACTAAGGCTCTTCCAAATTATATAATGTTTTAGATAAATATACACAACTATTTAAATTTTAAAAGTTAATTTTACTTTTAACATATTATTAGAATATAAATTAAAAATTATTCAATCAAATATAGCATAACATATGATTACACAATTTCAAATAAAAATTTTACATATTAAACACTAAAAATTCTCTTAAATATCTTACATTGAAATAGAGAAACTAGTAAACTTGGTTGACAAGAAAAAAAATAAACTTAGAAGCAAAGACAAATCTTCATTATGATTGATCCGAACAAAGGAAAAAACAGGAAGCTGTAGCGATCGGAAGATCATTTGCAGCAAAGAAGGACTACCAAATCGACGGAAACAAAGAGATGGTAGCATTAGGAGCAATGAACGTGATCGGTTCGATGACTTCTTGCTATGTAGCCACGGGTTCGTTCTCAAGATCAGCTGTGAACTTCGTGGCGGGATGTCAAACAGCAGTTTCCAACATCATAATGTCAATGATCGTCCTCTTAACGCTTCTCTTCCTCACTCCTCTTTTCAAATACACACCCAACGCCATTCTTGCTGCCATCATCATCAACGCCGTGATCCCTTTGGTCGACGTAAACGCAGCCGTTTTGATTTTCAAGATTGATAAGCTTGACTTCGTTGCTTGCATGGGAGCTTTCTTTGGTGTCATCTTTGCATCTGTTGAGATCGGTCTTCTCATTGCCGTACGTCTCAAGGAAACACCATATATGTGGCTTTATATAACGTTTTGTTATCTTTTAGCTGATCTTGTGTGTGTGTGTGTGTTTTAGGTGGGCATATCTTTTGCTAAGATACTCTTGCAAGTTACAAGACCTAGGACAGCGATTCTTGGAAAGATTCCGAGGACATCGGTTTACCGGAATATCCATCAGTATCCTGAAGCGACTAGGGTTCCAGGAGTTATGATAATTCGTGTTGACTCAGCCATATACTTCTCAAATTCTAATTACGTTAGAGAAAGGTATATAACAGATTGAAAAACCCTTTTACCATTACTTGGTTCGCAAGAATCCGTTTCAGCAACCTTACTGTTTTGTTCTTGAAATATATATAAAAATAGGATTCAAAGGTGGATAACAGATGAAGAAGAGAAAGTGAAAGCGGTTAGCTTACCTAATATCCAGTTTCTGATCATCGAGATGTCACGTACGGAACCAACTCTCTATTTCTTTTGCTATCGTATACAAATTTTATATTTCTTTACATATATAGACTAGTTAAGCGCGTGATGAGCACTGATGCGCAGCCAGTTAATGATGTTCTATTCTACGTTATTCAGCTGTTACAGACATCGATACTAGCGGTATTCACGCCTTAGAAGACTTATACAAGTCTCTCCAGAAGAGAGACATTCAGGTACACGCCATAAAAACCATATATAGCTAAACCGCAAAGATTACAAAGAAGTTTTATTAATTTGACCTTTTTTTTTTGTTTTTTCGTGTGGAAAAACAGTTGGTTCTAGCGAATCCAGGACCGTTGGTAATAGTTAAGCTACACGTCTCTAACTTCGCAGACATGTTAGGATACGACAAAATATTTCTGACGGTGGCTGAAGCCGTTAATTCTTGCTCTCCAAAACTCTCTGACGAGGTCTGAAACGATGAAGAATCTTGATGATGGAAAGCAAAAAGTTAAGTTTTGTATGCTTTTCTAAACTGAGCTGAGTAGTTAATTACTAGTCAGTGACTTTGCCTTCGATGTTATCTGTAAACTGTTATCCCCTGCTTACGGCTATGTGTGACATAGATGTCAAGCGTGACGTTGACCTATGTGGCCTTATATTTAGAGCTTTCATTTGTTTTTGCTTAGAGAATCTGCAAAACATCTATACTATCATTCTATGAAACCTTTTAACATAATGGAATCAAATATTCAATGGTGTCGGTAGGAGAATTATCAACTGCAATTCTTATTTCACCCGTGAGTACTAAATGAATTTATAATATCTTTCACATGGTTGAGTTGGTTAGAGAGGTTCGCGTTATTGGTCGCTCGGATCAAATATCGTTTTTAGTTGTTACATTTTCTTTGCAACTTTCAATCATATGATTTCTTTATATAACCTGCTAACGTTTGTTTTTTTCTTTTTAAACCCAAACATTAACACCGGATTATTGGAGGAAAAACTTTGACAAAACATTTTTTATAAGATTCAAACATTGACAAAAAAAACTAATGATATAAAAAGAAAAAAAAAACACTTCTCCCTACAAAATTATGTGTGAACCAAGTTGAAGACCACTTGTGGAGGAAAATGTGGTCCACAAACCACAATACACTCCTCATTAGGTATGAGGGATTAGGACATGTATTTATATAATAATGGTTTAGGCATGTAGACGTTAGTTAGACGATTGGATGAAACACATGCTATGTTTTGCAGATTTCACACAAAAATACATCACCACCGTGCAATAACATTATAAAACCGTCTGTAAAAAGATACTCAGATCTCTTCTCGAGCATATTAAAATAGAAAAGTGGTACGAAACGTAGGATGTTCAGACCGACCATTTTTGTACAATGTGCCACTCTGTTTGTGCTTTAAACAGGTGCCCCCCACCCTCACCCTCCAAATGCACCAATCAAAAGCAAGCTTATTAGTTCTCGGCTTTTGTGCATATTCTTTATATGAAAACGAAAATAAGAGACTATAAATTGATCTTCACATCAAATTCAAATATAAACTTCGTCTGATCATAAATAAATTATGAAATTACAAATTGGCCAATTGATTTGTGAAGTGGCGACACGTTGGAGGGCTGTTCACTATTGCAAAGAGACATATCGGTCACGAGAAGTGGACCATTTTAGCCCAGACATTAGGAGCTACAAAACAACATTTTATGCTTTCTTTTTTTCCCAAAATTATAGTAGAAATTCGACAAAATAATTGAGAAAAGAAAGAAAGACAAAATAATTTGTGAAACACGACAAAAAAGCAATTAAATAACGAATAAAACGTCGAGAATCCGAATCATGACGTGTCGTTACCATGATGTGAAAACAGAATCAGATCAAAACAATCAACGGTTAATATTCACTCCTAAGTTTATGGCTCTTCTTTAATCTCCTTTGTGTCTCTTCTCTCTTTCTCACTTCCACTTTCTTCTCTTTCGCTTTTGCTCTGTTCACTCAGAGCATAAACCCTAAAAACAAAGAGAGGAACAAGAAACCAAGAACACACGAACGAACAAGAAGAAGATGTTGTTGGGGAAGAGACAGAGACCAGATATAAAGAGAACTACTAGTATGTCGGAGATAAAATTCGACTTGAACTTACCAAGCGAACCAGAAGAGCCGTCGGATCATCAACATGTTCAGATGTTGAGTCCTCCGAGAACTAAGCTCATGGCCGTTGATGAACAACGTCAGGTTCATCATGGTTTGTTAGATCAACGACCCTTGGCGATGGTCTCACCGAGAGGTACACAGAGGAGACACTCAGCAGATTACTCCACTCACGCCGGAGCAGATTTTCTAAGATCTTGCTCTCTCTGTAAACGTCATCTTGTTCACGGCCGAGACATCTATATGTATAGGTATATACGTTTCTTTTCTTTTTTTTACATATTTACGTGAAACTAACTACCTTTCAAAAGTAAACATGAATTAATAATTAAAGGTTTTTTAATCAATTTGGTTGTTTAATTTGAAGCAGAGGAGATAGGGCGTTTTGTAGTTTAGAATGCAGGCAGCTGCAGATTACGGTGGACGAGAAGAAAGAGAAGAGTCCGGTGAGATCAACCGTCGCCGTCGGTAGCAGCAAAGGAGAGAGAGTTTCCGCCGCCGTGTAGGTCACCTTTATATATGTCTAAATGCATTGAGCATTATTGACGTGATTAACCTTGTTAATCATCTTCAGCTTTGCTTTAAAACTTAAGGGTTAAGAGTTAAGACTATGGTGCTTTGCATATTAATTGTGTTACGCCTATTACTTAATTTGCTTCTAACTATCTAACTACTTTTACATTTTAAAATTTAAAACACCAACAATTAACAAGTATGTCAAATGTAAAGACTACAGAAAGCAGTGGCGGATTGTTTTTAGTTAGGGGCACAATGCTAAAAACAAAACAAAAAAAAATGTTATGAACTGGGCCACTTTGTCTGTTTATTCACTAATCTAAGAACAATTTAATCAGATAACCGCAGATTCTTCAAAACAAATATAAAAGAGTAGGAATTTCATTGATAAGTAGACCATGTACAAGATACCGCCAAGAATACTTAATCGTCCTGTTTTCTACTTCATGCTTCGATATTTGAAAAGCCTTTTATACTATGAAACAGTCAAGCAAGGAATCTCATTGACTAGGTCCCTGGTAACATTTTAGCAGATTCTTTCTTTTTTAGGCCGAGATTCTCTACACCCCCTCTTTGCTTATGAAAAAAATATAAATCTCTTGAATTCTTGTTTAATCATAAAATTATTTGGATAAGCCAATCAATGAGTTTGTACAATTTTTTAATTGCTTGTCTGTTAAAATAAGAAGAATCTTATCCCTTGTAAATGAAAAACAAAGAAAAGGATTGCATGTAGTAGAAGTGGATGATTTGTGATATAGTTCTGACGCCAACTTTGATAAGAACAAATTGTTGCCAATATCTTAACAAACATAAGCATTATGCCATGAAACATTTAAGAATCTGCAGCTTGATTTTTAGTAACCAGAAGTTTCTTATATTCTAGGCTTCAAGTTTAGGTTCTTGTTGTATCTAAAGAGAGTCTCCGTTCTTGATCTTCACATCTTCTTTGTCCTCCATGTGCTTCCGTTCAGAATCCGAGTTGTTCAAAAGAGCTGAGGTTGATGACACTGTGGTGTTTCCAAAGAACTTCAAATCATCCTCTCTCATTCTCTCCGCATATTTCTCAAAATTGAAACTCGAGTCACTGTTATTTCCACCAAATGCAACCTCTAGTTGCTCCATATCGAAGATATCCTCCAGAATCTTCTTGCTTACATTATCATCTGAGTAGACGAATTTCACCTTGTTGCGTGTCTTTGGGTCTAGAAACGGTTTCACCATCTAGCAGATTTATACAAATGTCATCTTATATGTCACATTAAAAAAAGTTTCATGGTACATAAAATATTTTGGACGAGAGATTTTTGAAACTATACCTTCCAAAAAGGTTCGAAAATCTTAGGAGGATTGTATAGGACGGCCAAGCCTAAGCGTTCAGGGTAATGTTCTTGTAACACATGAGCGGTTTCTCGAGACACTTTGACGGATATGTGGGACATGTTGAAACCGTGAAAATCTATTAGCCAAACCATTTGGTCTTGGTGGTCAGGTAGATTCAAGATTGCGTTCTCCATGCAGTATACCAAGAATCTAATCTGCCCTTTGGGAGATTTTGTATTCTGTAATTAAATGAAAACATATATAAGTCAAAGAAACGAGAGATTTGGAATGAAATGGGATGAAGAATAAGAAGCCAAACCTGAGAACTTGGTCTCATAACCAAAACCGGTCTTCCATACTTGTCGGTACAATTAGCTCGGTATATTTTACCGGTCTCGGCTTCTTGAGAAATCTCTTCCTATAGTTTTACATATTTAAGAAACAGTTTCGAAACAGGTTTAGGATGATGTTTACAGAGATTCAAGAATAAATACCCATCGAATCTCCTCGGGTTTGTATTGAGTCCTCCATTTCAAGGTTTCTTTGAGCATTTTAGTTGCTTTCTTGACATGGCCGTTACGTGCAGCTAAGTACCGGGAAATGGCAGCATCTGAACAATACTCTGATGACTTCTCAGTCAATGGCCCTAGTAATGTCCTCACTTCATTTATCTATAATTAATTGTGACAATGGAAGTGTTACAAAAATACAATAGTTAGTTATATCAACAAGCAGTATAATACTGAACACATCAAATATTTATCATCATGACAAAACAGCTACCGATTCCTCTTATCATCACCATCAATCATCGTACCTTGATTAAATACTCCTCTGGTGGCAAAGTTTTCTCAAATCCACTTAGTGGTGAATCTTTGGCATCAGAACTCATATCTTGCTGGAAATTCATACTGCATATTAAATATTCATTGGCCACAAACAGGGAGATCAACACAAGATCAACCAAGGCATATATTAGAGCGAGCTTGATTTTAGCCATACTTAAGCTAATGAGATACGAATCAAGAAACACAACAGGTTATGATTAAATTACATATCGAATCAGAGACGACAGAGAAACATCCAAATCACGGTTTAAAAATAAAAAGAATTAAGAAAACTAATTAACATACTGACCTTGATCTGAATCCTAGATAAATACAATCAACATAAACTCAGAAATAAATAAATAAAAAATGTTAAAGAACATGAACATACCTTCGAAAGAAAGAAAGAAAAATGTATTGGAGCGATCAGCGAAGAGATGGGGTCGATAAGTCGAACTCAAACATAGAAAATGGAAGAGCATTTAGACTAAGACCAAGAAGTCTTCAAAAGCTCCGGTCTAGAAAAAAAGCAAAGACTTAACTGTAAGAAAAGTAGTAGAGAAAGAGAAAGAACATGGGGTTCGTCAGGCGGCTACGTTACGGTTACGGACGGTGTGATGAGAGCTGAAAGGCACCTGACGCCATATACACAACCTTCCTTTTTCCCGTTTTGGTTCAAAGCAGATTCTGTTTTCTTTATTTAACGTGGACTTAGTGAAATGGACCGGGAATTAAACCCGGTTTGACTTCTTCATTTGAACTTTTGCTCTGTAAATGTGTGAATGTGACGTTCTTAGCAAACCATCTTGGTCGATTTTTTCACCCGCTCTGACATTACAAAATACCAACCACATAACTTTCACATGTCAAAGTCATACCACCAACTCCACTAAGCCCAAAAGGAAACATATATTGGATTTTTTTTGTCATCACACATATATTATATGGATTAGTTAAGCATTTCCTTTCTTCTAATAACAACTTGGACGGAAATTTTTTTTAACGAATCAAGTATTTTAAACGACTTCTATTGATAAAAAAAATATATCATTGATTTTTGAATACTGAAAAATTTCTCCATTTATGTGTATTTTAAAATTTTATCCAATTACAATATAATCTAGTTATTTACAACACGTGAAAACATGACAAATGGTTTTACGGAAAACTATACTGCTTGATTATAACATCATACTGCATGATTCATTTATTCATACGTGGTGTAGTGGTGTGATATTACATTATTAAACTCTTGGTATCCAGACTAATTGAACTTCAGAAATATTAAGAGATTATTTTGTAATTATTCATACGTGGTGTAGTGGTGTGATATTACATTATTAAACTCTTGGTATCCAGACTAATTGAACTTCAGAAATATTAAAAAGATTATTTTGTAATTATTGGGACTTAAATTTAAGGTTCATCAACTAAATTTGCATAATGAACGGGCCTAGTCTTGCAGCCCACCACTAAAATGATTTGGTGTAATCCCATATTCCCTCCTTCCGTTTGTATTAGTTTCTTTCTTGTATTGTTATCTATCTATGTTTATGGTTTGCTGACAAAAAAAAAAAAAAAATCTATGTTTATGTTTTCCGCCATTTCCAGTCTAGCTTTTAGTAACGAGTTTGTCGATTATAGATTATATGTTTACTGTTAAATTTTCTCAAAAAAAAAAAAATTTACTGTTAAATGTTCCCAAAAAACAAGTTTTGTAACATCCCGGTTTAATGGTATATGAAAAGACTTAAAATAATTGATTTGGTGATCTATATCACTAAAGTCACTTACCTTTTCAGGAGGACATTTAGAGAGAACTCCAAAACTAATTGTGCTTGAGCTAGAGTAGTCAAAGGATGGGTGACCTATCGGGAAGTGATTTGCAATAGCGTGTAAGTGAGGCCAAAGCACGGGGAAAAGTGATGTGGTGATTGAAAGGATCAGTAAACATGACTCTAAAGCCTTGGAAAATTAACGAACTGACCGTTGGAACGGGATGAGACCCACGGGCCGAAAGAGCGGGCGTGGATTGCCCATTAGCCGTGGGCGGTCGGGGCGTTACAGGTTTACTGTTAGATGAATCAAAATTTCATATTCTATAATACGAAGCTTGTTAGGTGAATAACAGAATATAATTTTTTTTAAACGATAGTTAGCAACGGAGTAATAGTGTATGTTCTTTAACTGTGAACGCTAAGAATATCAGGGTACCTATTTTTACAGTTTACTATATGAATATTGAGAAACAAAATAATATCAAAATATCTTCATTAAAGAGTAAATGTGTACAAAGTTAACTATATATACACTTGGATAATTAACTACTCTAACTAACTCTAACTACCATTTACATCACAACTCTAACTGACCTTTACATGTATAGTATATACACTAATAGTCCCCCTCAAGATGGCGATAGAAGCTGATGAAATCCCATCATGGACATGAGTTTGTGAAACAAGGTAGGATAGAGCGGTTTAGTAAACGGATGAGCAACTTGCACTACAAGAAAACACATCGATTCCTAGGGACGATTTCCTCGGAATGTCGTCGGAATCAGGCGATTCCGACGATATTCCGAAAAAAATTTCCCTCGGAAAAATCTCCTCGGAATCGCAGTTTTCGTCGGAATTTCCTGGGAATATTCCGAGGAAATTCCGACGGACAATATTCCGAGGACATTCCGAGGATGTTTTCCGATGGAACCGTTTGTCGGAATTTCAACGAAAATTTCCGAGGGAAGAAACTACTCGGAATATTCCCAGGAATCCGTCCGTCGGAATATTCCGAGGACTTCAATCTCTCGGTAAATTTCGAGGAAAGGTATTCCTCGGAATAATCCGAGGGATAGTATTCCTGAGAATATTCCGACGGAGATTCCGAGGAATGTTTTCCCTCAGAATATTCCGAGGAATATCATTCCTCGGAAATTTCGTAATTTTTAATTTTTTAAAAAATAATA